TTTTGTTTGTTTGTCATAAATTAATTGGCCATACTTGTGTGGCTTTATTCCTGGGTTCTCTATTCTGATCCATTAAACTATGTGTCTGTTTTTATGCCAAGACCATACTGTTTTGATTTCTAGAGCTTTGTAACATAGTTTGAAATCAAGAAATGTGATGCATCCCATTTTGTTGTTCTTTCTCAAAATTGGTTTGGCTACTCTGGTCTGTTGTGGTTCTGTGGAAATTTTAAGATTTTTTTTTTATTTTGTGAAAAATAATGCCACTGGAATTCTTATAGAGATTGAAATGAAACTGTAGAGTGCTTTGGGTAGTATAGACATTTTAACAATATTCATACTTCCAATCCATGAGCATGAAATATCTTTCCATTTGTTTGTGTCATTTTCTGTCATCAATGTATTATAATTTTCAGTATATAGACCTCTCATATCCTTGGTCAAATTTATTCCTGGGTATTTTATTCTCTTTGATCCAATTGTAAATGGGATTGTATTCTTAATTTCTCTTTTTGATATTTCATTACTAGTTTACAGATATGCAGCAGATTTTTATATAGAGACTTTTTATCCTGCAATTCTACTGAATTTTTTATTAGTTCTAATAGTTCTTTGGCAGAGTCTTCAAGATTTTCTATACGTAATATCAGGTTATCTACAAATAGAGACAATTTTACTTCTTCCTTCTCTATTTAGAATCATTTCACTTCTTTTTTTGCCAAGCTGCTTTGACAAGGACTTCCAGTACTATACTGAATAAAAACGGTGAGAGGGACCAACCTTACCTTATTGCTGATCTTAGAGAAAAAAACTTTCAGCTTTTCATCACTGACTACACTGACTACGATGTTAACTGTGGACTAGTCACATATGGCCTTTATTATGTTGAGGTGTGTTCGTTCTATACCAACTTTGTTGAGTTTTTTAAATTATAAATGGGTGTTGAATTTTGTCAAATGATTTTTCTGCCTCGATTGAGATAATCATATGATCCTTAATTTTGTTAATGGTATACCACATTAATTGACTTGTGAATGTTAAACCATCCTTTCATTCCTGGAATAAATCTCACTTGATCATGGTGCATGATCCTTTTAATGTACTGTTGAATTCACTTTGCTAATATTTTGTTGAGAATTTTTGCATCTATGTTAACAGCAATATTGGCCTGTAATTTTCTTTTTCTTTCTTTTTTATAGTGTCCTTGTCTGGTTGTGGTATAAAAGTAATGCTGGCCTTGTAAAATGAATTTGGCAGTTCTCCCTCCTCTTTTTTATTTTTATTGTTTTGAATGGCTTGAGAAAAGATTGGTATTATAAATTCTTCTTTATGTTTTTGGTAGAATTCACCAGGGAGGCAATCTGGTCCTGGACTTTCATTGGTTCGGAGATTTTTGATTACTAATTCAGTCTCCTTACTAGTAGGAATTGGTCTGTGCAGATGTTTTATTTCTTCGTAATTCAGTCTAGGTAGATGTTTCTAAGAATTTATACATTTCTTTTAGACTGTCACATTTTTTGGTGTGTAATTGTTATAGTAGTATCTTGTGATCTTTGTATTTGGTGGTATAAGTTTTAATGCCTCCTCTTTCATTTCTAATATTATTTATTTGAGTTTGTTTCTTTTTTTCTTGGTTAGTTCATCTAACACCTTATCTACTCTCTTTTTTCCAAAAAACCCCAGCTTTTATTTGATTAATTCAGTTGATTTTTCAAGCTCTACATATTTCATTTCTACTCTGATTTTTATTTTCTTCCTTACTAACTTTGGGCTTGGTTTGTTCTTTTCTAGTTCTTTGAAGTTAGGTTGCTTATTTGAGATCTTTTTCTTTTAACATAAGCATTTATTACTATAAACTTCCCTCTTAGAGATGCTTTTGCTGCATCCCATAGTTTTTGTATTTGTGTTTTCATTTGCTTCACCACACCCACACACACAATTTCTCATTTGATTGTTCAGGAGTATATTGTTTAATCTCCACAAATTTGTAAATTTTCCAGTTTTCCTACTGTAATTGATTTCTAATTCCACAGCATTGTAGTAAAAAATGCATGATGGGATTTTGATATTCTTAAATATATTAAGATTTGTTTTGTGGCCTAACATATCATCTATCCTGGAGAATCATCCATGTGCACTTGAGAAGAATGTGTATTTTGTTGCTGTTGGGGTGGAATGTTCTATAAGTATATGTTAAGTCCATCTAGTCCATTGTTTTTTTGTTAATTTTCTGTCTGGATGATATATCCATGGTATAAAGTGTGGTACTGCAGTCCCCTTCTATTACTGTATTGCTGTCTATTTCTCCCTTCAGATCGGTTAATAGTTGCTATACATATATTTAGTTGCTCCTGTGTTGAGGGCATACATATTTACAAATATTACATTTCCTCAATGAATTGATATCTTTATCATCATATAATGACCTTTTTCTGTCTCTTGTTAGTCTTTGGTTTAAAATCTATCTTGTCTGGTGTAAGTACAGCTATTTTTCTGGGGGGTGTCCATTTGCATGGATTGCCTTTTTCCATTCTTTCACTGTCAGTATAAGTGTCCTTAAAGCTGAAGTGAGTCTTTTGTAGGCACTGTATAATTATGTCTTGTTTTATTTTACTCCATTAATCTGCACTGTATCTTTTTATTGGCCATCCAGCGAATAAGAAATGAGATCAAGAAATTGTTTTTCACATGATGGTGGGATTTAGAATAGAAAACACTTTTGACAAATACCCTATACTTTTATTAAAATGTAGGATTTTATGTACAAAGGAAATAAATAATAATAATGTATTACTATGAGCTTGTCTGCTTAGATAAATAAAGCCCCACAGCAGGATCTTTAAAAGACTTAGTCACCCCTTTTCATGGATTTCCCTGAAAATGTTTGGCCACGCCCCTCCCCTGTCTCAGTCTCTAGGTTTAGCTGCGGGAAATCTATAGCCTCAAATTGGGCACAGGTTTTTATTTATTTATTTTGAGTTATTTTACCCTCCTGCAGCCCTTCCTTTTGTACTTCATGAATCTGGGGGGAAGTTAGACCAAGGTGTGGCCTTGTCATGATGAGAAGAGCTGGGGAGGATGAAGAGGAGAAGAAGCGTTGACTCTTGTTGCTTCCTAAGGCTGCGGAGCTGGTCCTTACCAGTGTAATTTAAGACACCCTAGAAGACGTCTTTCTTACAAATGCATGGGGTCCTTTAAATGTTATCCCAGGACAAAGATTCCCCCTGGAAATCAGTCCCCTGTAACATATACACCACTCAATGAGGGAGAAAGCATGAAGTTCAAAATTCTAGATGGAACTTGAAAGGCACTTTGGCATCTTCTAGAATAGGGCTTCTCATACTGTGGGTCCTCTCAGTTCCTTTCAAGAGGTCCATGTTGACATTTGCACTGAAGGTCCAAAAACAATGGTGAATAAAATCCCTGGCATCTTAGTTTGAAGAAAGGCAGTCTCACGGAATGATACCAGTAGTCACGTATCCTTCATCATTACATACTTGCAACTAAAGACACACACGCACATACATGTAGGCTAGTTTTATGTAAGAATGTCCTTGAAGCAGTACGATTTATTAATTTCATTAATAAATGAAGTTTATTACTTCTGTGACAGCACTGTGAGCTCAACTAGCCACTTTCTTCATGGGACTATTTTTTTCTTCACAACCAACAGACAAACTGTGGTTATTCAGACTTTAGTGTCTGGCAGGCATTTTCTCAAAAAAAAAAAAAAAAATGAAGTAAGCTTGTTTCTTTAAGGAAAACAACTGACAGTATTTATTACCAATGATAAAATTTAAGCTTTCAAAGAAAAATGAGAATTTTGGAGAACTCCTATTTGTCATTGTGAGCTTGACAGCTTCCCAATATTTAAAGACTTTTCTGATGGGATTGGTGGTAATATTAATGAGTATAATGTTTTGATATTATATAATGAAAAGTGTCAAAATGCGGAAGACCTGAATAACTCAGTGTTCCCATATTTTCCAGATGACTAATGCACGATGTTACAAAATAAGAAGCCTAGAAAGATCTACTCAAATTACAATCTGTAAGACTGGATTTCAATGTAACAGAGCATGAGAAGTTCATTGACATGGTTTCAGATTGCACATGGGAACTAACCTTTAAGAAACTATACTTGTTGAGTTTAGTGCAGTACCATAGAAGAATATCAACAATTATCACAGCAGATTGAGTGCAGAAGCAAATACAAGGATGCAGCTCTCACTTGCTCAGTGAGACACTGAAGAGATTTGCAAAAATGCAGCAATGCCACACCTCTTGCTAAATCCGTTTTATTTCAATTTGTTTCAGAACATACAGTCACTATCATAAAATGTTATTTATGTCGTATATAATGGATTTACTGCTGTTATCTTTAAATGAAATAATGAACTAATTAATTACTCTCCTCAGCTTTAATTTCTAAAATGGCAATTATCAATAGATGTAAGCCACACAAACACATGATGGGGCAAAAGTAGGTTTACAGTTGTGAGTACGCGAAACAGAGTTTGTTTTTACATTATTATTTATTAACTATTGTTATTTTCCGTACAAATAACTGTGAACCTACTTTTGACTCACCAAGTATACAGGACACAATCAATATGAAGAGTATGAAGGGTTCCTGAGACCAAAACGTTTGAGAACTGCTGTTCTAGGCCAACATGTGACTTTACGAATGGGTAATTGAAGCCATGACAGGTGACGTGATTGATCCACACGGGAGCCAACTGTGACGAGAACCCATCGCTGCAAACAGCTGTCTGGTGTGCCCACTGTTTGTTTCCCCCGCTACACCACACCCATGACTGCCTTCGTACGAACGAGCTCTGAGCTATTCCCAGCGAGAGAGGTCATAAGAATAGGTTGTGATGGAGCTCAGCCAGCGCTGAGAGGCTACCAGGGGAGGCAGAACATGACCTACTGCAGGTTTTACGTCCCTTGTTCCAAAACACAGGGAGCCCTTCCTTATCCCTTGACTCTTCCTCTAGGGAGTTTGCCCGTTGGAAAGTGAACAGCTTGGTTCTGGAAAGGAAGGACTTCTTCGGTTTGCCACTGCCTCTAGCCCCAGAGTTCATTCGGAACATCCGCCTCCTGGGAAGGAGACCCAACCTGCAACAGGTGACTGAAAACCTGATCAAAAAGTACGGCACTCACTTCTTACTTTCCGCCACCCTTGGAGGTAAGCAACATCATGAACCTGCACGAGTCAGTTGCCGGGTTGTGGAAAATGCTTTAAGGCCCGCTAAGGACAGCTCCCATAGCCTTCCTGGATCTTTTGTTTTTCCTGGCCTATAATTGCCTGAGAAATGTTTCCTTTATGGTGCCTTTGAGAATAGTATAGTTTCCTCATATCCAAATTCACTCCCGGCCATTGCTGGTTGCTCACCAGCAGCCTCCTGAGGATGGGGTGTGGAACAAAGAGAATGGGGGACACAAAGGCTCCTGCTAAGCCCTTGCCAGCAGGCGGTGCTCCCAGTTTTCCCTGGCCTGGGCCGTTTCACCCCGAACCTTCTCCACATCCCAACACTGGCTGTGGATACAGCTGTCAGACCCATGGGCAGGGAAGTGAATGCCTGTTGAGTCCCTACCGCTGCTTCCTCTTTGTTAAAGACTAGGGATCAGAGGAGCCAACTCTATTGACTCTGGCCTGGCTGCAGGCGAGGGCGGGGGCGGGGATGCTGCAACCTGGGCTGGATCCAGGGCAGAATCAGGAGCTCCGAGGAGGCAGAGTTCTCTGTGCCCTGGGAAGAAGAAAGCAGGATTTATTATGACATTTAGCTTGCTGTCTGATGGGCGAAAAGGAGCTCTCCGAGGGCTCAGGCAGCTGCCGCAAGTGGTAGGTGCTGAGTGTTTGATGGGGAGAGAGGACCTTGAACTTCAAGGCTTTTGCCCTTTTGGAGGGAGCAGAAATATCCATCGCAGGTTCTCATAAACAACTTGAGAGGAAGAATTTTTTCTCCCCCATGGAGGTAGATTGCCCGAGATAGAGATCGATAGAAGATGTTAAATGGATAAGCTGGAAGTGAGGGGAATGAGGCACACAGGACTAAGGAAAGGGAGGGGGCCTCCCCGGCAGGGACGCGGCCTGAAGAGATTTTTCTAACCACGGTACAGGGTGGGGAAGAGGCAGGAGCGACGGGCTCCTTCTTTCCTGGCCAGAGTTGCGTGTTCTCCCATGTAGGGGATGAGGGAGCAGAAGGCCTCACCGATGAACCCACATTGTTTGCTCTAGGAGAAGAGTCCCTGACTATTTTTGTGGACAAGCGGAAACTGAGCCGAAAGACAGAGACCGCAGGAAGTGCCCCCACCGTCGGGGGCAGTGGGAACAGCTCGGCCGTGTCCCTGGAGACCCTGCATCAGCTGGCAGCCTCTTACTTCATCGACAGAGAGAGCACTCTGCGACGGCTGCACCACATCCAGATAGCCACAGGCGCCATCAAGGTAAGGGCCGAGAGGTGCGGTGCGGGCGGGGCGGTGGCAGGCTGGCCACGGGAGCGCCAAGTCAGCCGGGCCTGACTGACAGGGACAGAACGCTTTCCGATGGAGCCACAGCCAGCCCTCCACGCGGTCCAGGTCTTCATTCAACAGCAAGCAGTCACGTAGCATCTACTCTGAGGCTGACTCGAGAGAGACAGACGAGGTCCCTACATTCTAGTTACATTCTAGTAGGGGATAGAAATGATAATTAAATATCAACAAAGCACTGTCAGGTAATGATAAAAAAAAACAAGACGGAGTCATAGGCACAGATTTCCTGGGGTGAGAGAAGGGAGCAGATAACGTTCACCAGACTGGCCAGGGAAGGGCACCTTGCATTTAGATTTTGAGGCTGAGATGCGAATGAGGAAAAGCCTGCTGTGGGTAGATCTGAGGGAAGAGCGTTCAGGCAGAGGGAACAGCAAGTGCGAAGGCCCTGAGGCAGGAACCAGCTTGGCGCCTTGGTGGGACAGAGAAGACTGCCGTGACCGTGGCGAGGCGACCAGGGAAGGCACGGGCGCGGGAGGAGGTTCGAAAGTAGGCTGCGGCAGGGTTACACGCCATGGTGAAAGATTTTACTATACGTCCAGGTACAACAGGAAACAACTGGAGTGTTTTAAGCAAAGGAGTGATATGATCAAACATATTCGCAGAAGATCACTATTCCTGTAATTTTATAACTCTAACCTTCATCCCATTGTTTCTACTTACATCTAGGAAAGTTCTAGAATAGTTCATATTTCTTTAAAAAAGAGAAGACCAGCGAAAATACTTGAGAATACTTGATTTTAAAAATTCTAAATATACAGTTAGGTTGACAAGTAAGGGTTGATCTTCATCTTATACCCTGCCTTTATTCTGCCTGGAACTCACGAGGAGGTTCTGTGTATTTATCTAAGGTTCAGTAAATATTTTGAACACCTATTGTATGTCAGGCACTGTTCAGGGTCCTGAGAATCCAAGAGTGAACAAAATATTTTAATTCCATGACCTCATGAAGCTTAAATTCTAGTGGTGGAGACATAATTAAGTAAATATGCCATGGCAGGTGAGAGGAACGGTATGAAGACATGAAACCAGGGAGAAGAGGGTGAGGGGGCCTGGTGCTCTAGGGAACACCCGGCTGAAGGAGCATCATCTAAGCAGAGGTTTGAACGGAGTGATGGGGTGAGCCCCATGGGCATCCTGCGCGAGAGCGTTCCAGACAGAGGGAAGAGCAAAGGCAACTGCCCTAAAGCGGGAGCGTCCTTGGTGGGATCCAGGAGCGCCGCCCGGAGCGGAGTCAAAGCGGGGTAAAGTGGGAGGTGAGGCGACGGCGGTCTGGGGCCAGATCATGAGGGCACTGCTGATCACTGACCATCACCGTGGTCAAGATTCAAATATATTTTGATCTAGAGCCTACGGGATGACTCAGGAACTGGAAGAGAGGAGTCAAGACTAACAGCAAGATTTTTGGCCTGAGCAACTGGATGAACAGAGATTCCATTTGCAAAGAAGGATGACACTGGGGGACACGCAGATATGAAAGGAGTAAATCAAAAGTTTGGTTTCTGACATATTGAATTTGACATTTCTATTAGACGTCCAAGTAGAGATATCTAATAGGCAGTTGGATAGGAACACCAGGATTTCAAAAGGTCATGACTGGAGATATAAATTTGGCATACAAATATATATGTGTGCATAGCTGGTATTCAAAACAGGGAAAAGGATGTGATGAGATCACGTGAGGAGTGACTGTAGCTGGGAAGGCGGCCCTAGGGCTGAGGTGTGTGTGAAGCACATCGATGTTTGGAAAGGGGGCGAGGAGGCAGATCTGACAGAGGAAGCTGAGACAAAGCGGAAAGGCATGAAGAGCACCAGACTCAGGTCCCTAAGCCACGTGAAGGAAGTCTGTCACAGAAGAAGGAGCAGGCAACTAGGCTAAATGTCCTTGAGCAGTCACATTGAGGACTGACCTTCAATTTGGCCACATGGAGGTAACTAGGAACCCAGAGAAGGCCAGTGTCAGCGGCAGGAAGGTACAAAGGGCTGAGAGGAGAAGGTTCAAGAGAGAAGGCAATGGGTATGGAATCAGAGTAATAGAGGCGATGCGTTAGGATTTTTGCTATAAAGAAAAATGGGCAATAGCTGGAGAGTGATGTGGGGCCAAGGGAGGGAGTGTTTTTGTGTTTCAGATAAGAGATGGTCCAGAATATTGGCATGGTGATTGAAATTCAGTAGAGGGGGAGAAAGTGCTGATGCAAGAGAGGCAGAAGATAATGTAGGAGCAACTGAGCAGATGAGAGACGCTGGTATTCTGTGCGTGGACGGGGGGACAGGTCTCACAGGAGCACGGCCCCTCCATCCTTGTAACAGCAGGCAGAACGAAGCGCACAAGGACAAACGCAGTGGGACAGTAGATGGTGAGGGGATATGGGTGTTCGCTTCTGATTCATTGCATTTGCTCCATGAAACAAGAAGCAAAGTTCTTGGCCAAAAGGAAGGGGAACTGTTGAGAAAAGAACGCATGAAATGGTCCTTCCAGGGAGTGGGAGTTGGGTATCTCATGTGATGAGATAAACGCAGTGGGTGGTTGGGCAGCACTGAGGGCCCGTCGGAGGCTCATGGTCATAATGATAACATGACAGGAGTCCGCAGAGTTGTGAGCTGTATCAGCTGCACTCAGCAACTCATGTTCAGCCAGGCATCATGGAATAGATGGAGAGTTGCAGATTTAACCAGGAGGGGGGTGTGCGTGTGTTCGAGATGAAAGGAAAAAAACATGCAAGGGAACTGAGAGTATATAGAAAAGAGGAATTACAATGAGGGACCAAGGAATTTGAGAGCATTGTGGGGTGGCAGGAAGTGAAAAGTGGGTCAGGTCAAAACAATGGCAGTCTAAGTAGGGTCATTCTAAATGTATGTTTGAATTATTATTGACATTAGGTAGGCGTGACGACCTGTCGGAGGGAAGAGACTGGAGGAGGCACAAGCGTGTGATGCGTGGGATCGAGATTATAGAGGGAGTGCAGCTATGAAAAAAATCGGGTTCTGCGCCATGGCCATGGCTGCGGGCGGCAAAGATGGGGCTGGAAGACAGGACGGGAGGTGAGGTGAGGAGGCCAGGGAACAGAGAGGCCAGCGGATTAATGGATCATCAACATGGATGCTGAAGTCGACAGCAGTGGTACAGACCTGGTGGTGCTAAGAAAGATGGTGGTAAGCAGGCGCAACACTGAAATCTTCAATGAGTGAAGGGGAACCATAGACTTTTCTGTGTACCTATGGCTTCAGCTGACATGTAGCTTTGCCTCGCCCTGACTGAACATCCTGTTCTGTGTTCTCTCTCAGCCAGCATTATCAGGGTGGGGACCACTTTCTTGCTCACTGTTGTATCCTCAGTTCCTCGTGCTTGATCATTATATTCTGATTTTTGCAAATGTCTACAATCACCCTTCAATCTTTTTTCTCTTGGTACCATAGTTCTAAATTCCCTGGAGCACTAATGTGTTTCAGAGCCCACCCTAGTCAACTACAAAGAGGAGGGGCCGCATAGTCGCCACCACGGCTGACTGGACTCGCCTCTTCTGTAAAATCTGTGGGTTGTGTCATGAGAGGCAGGCAGGCACCCAACCACACCTACCACGGTGCCCGCGCATCCGCTTTTCCAGAACTACTGCCATGGCCCCTGTCCCCAAGGGAAGGCCACCACCCTTGGAAGAGTCTTTTTGGAATATTCCCATTCACACACGAAATGTGAGATTCAGCCTCCATCCGGCCGCCGGACCCAGAGTTTCCCTGTTGAGGGGCACGGCGAGCTCTCCCCATGGACTGTAGTCCAGAGAACCAGGAGAAAACAGGGGTCCCGTAGTCTTTTCTCCCACCTTCACTCCTCCAAGCCCTCACCTCCACATAACCCAGTGAGATCTAGAGACCTGCATGGCCTGTCCAAGGCCACAGCTAAGCTAAGGGACAGGGGAGGTGTTGGTGTCCCACCCCATGGCTCTGCTCGCCTTCCAGAGCAGACCTGCCCATCTGTCCCAACATAAAGGTGCTCCACCAGAGACCACCTCTGCTCTAACACATGTAGCATCGCACGGGTTCCCAGAGTAGGGGGCAAGAGGCTAGAGCACACCCTGGCGGGCTTGTCGCTGCTGTGTGCACACCACCTACTTCCCTGGGGGGAGCACGCGTTAGCAGTAGCTCAGCTGGCTCCAGGCACAGCCCTTCCTCTGGCTGGCACGGCTGGGGGCGAGGGTCCACCTGCCTGCTCAGCCTTGCAAAGGAAACATCCGCCCGCCTACCTGCCTGTCGCTGCAGGTGCGCTCTCACCCTCACTTCCTTTGTACCACCCGCTGTTGACTGCCCAGCGCATTCCTCTGCCAGCCCACCGCCGCTGCCTCTGCAGCAAGGTGCGCTGCGATCGGCACACACCCCTAGTATTGGACCCGTCACGTCACACTGCAGCTGTTCACACGCCCATTACAGCAGGGCGGCTTCGGGCAGGGGGGACTCTGGCATGCCCAGGGTCCTGGGTCCCTTTGCAGTGTCTGACGTGGGGTGAGACACGCAATGAGATGCTTGATGGGCGAAAGCGGGCTGCGTGGTTCAGTGAGAAACAAACTCGCTCCAGGGAGAAGATTTGGGCTTAGGTTTCAGCCCAGATGCTTCCTATTTCCCTGACCTTGAGGCGTCACTGACCTCCTTGACTTAGCTACACCCAGGGCTTACATTCAGCTGATATGGCTAGAGTTACTAAAATATTAAAATATCCCTGCACCAGCTGGTAAAGGTCTTCACCACACCCGCTGGGGGCCCCTCCAACCACCTCGTCCCTCACCTAGAGCCCCCAGATGTCCCCTCGATAGTAACCAAAGGGCTATGGCACCCCGGGAGGCCCCCAGAACCCTGCCTTGGCACACCATGTCCTACCTGCTGATAAATATTGTTGACTGATACCCCTGACTCTTGGCTGGGGTGACAGCACATGAGAGCGTTCACAGGAAAACACCTCGCACACTGTAAAGGGCTGACTACCTATCCACGCTGCCCTCAGTTCCTGGGATGAGGTCAGAGCCACGGAGCGGGGGAAGGGCCTGCCACTCAGTAGCAGCTCCCCGTTTGATCCAAGGCTGATAAAGGACTCGGCGGGGAGGGCTTGGGGTGCTCCCACACTGACTGAAAAGGGCCCACACAGAAGTCCAGGTGGATCCCGAGATGGCAAAAGGGAGCAGTTCCCACAAAGCATCCTGAGGCTGGCTTGTCCAGCTTGCTCGTGGCTGCAGCCTGGGATTCAATTTGCAGATCTTTTAAGCACACACAGCGTCAGCTCTGCTCTCCCGGGCGGCCCTGTTGCTCACAATTAGAAGCTATTTGACGCGCTCTGAGCTCCACCCGTGCCCCACCAGGTAGGACAAGGGCAGCCGGAAGTGAAGGGCAGGGGGAGGAGAGCGGGCCGCTGTGGAACAAGGGTCCGCAGGATCTGGTATTTACGGGGAATTGCAGTGCTAATGAACCGGAGATCCATCAGGGCGTTCTGACGGCAGGCTGGTCTCTGTCAACAGACCAATTAGCACACAATTATTTTCCCTTTCTGAAAGCTTATCTGGGACACTCTTCGCACGCGTGCGCCTGAGTGAACCGCGCGATCCGCCACCTTGGCGGGCCCTCTTTATAATCTGCCGGAGCTGCTGCCTCTTCGCCGGAGAAAGGCATGCCGTTCTCTGGACCAGCCCGCAGAGAGAGGCTCTGGGACGCCCACCCCTTGGGGGAGGGGACCATAGGCCGTCCAGCTTATCAAGTCCACATCCAGGCACTATCTGCAAGAGCACCCTCTGCGGCTTCCTCCTCCTCCTCCTCCTCCTCCCCCTCCTCCTCCTCACTTGTCTGGAAGGACGGAGGTGGCTCAGGGCAGAATAGCAGTGGCAGGGCGATGGCCCTGGGATCCAGGGGGACCCGAGTGGGCCTTCCGCCCTCGTGGAGGCCTGGCCTGGATCCTTCCCTCTCAGGAAATGAGCGGGAAATCACGGTCCTTGTCCCTTCCTCACTCCTACCCTCCTGCCACGATTAATAAAGCCCAGCTACTCACACTCTTTCCATGGCTCACCTAACTGATTGTCCTCTTGTGGAGCTGACCTTTGGAAATAGCAAAGTAAAGGTCAGAAAAGAGCACCAGAGGCAGGCCCAGAATGCTAAGAGGATGGTGGGGAGGCAGATGGATTGGCGGCAGGGAGGAAGGGGCCGTGGTGGGACCGAGGAGAGGAGGGTGGCCGCTCTTGGTTTTCCTCCTTGGGATTGTCCTCTTCCTATATGAGGGGCGTAGCTCCCTCCCTGCCTGGATGCTGGTGAGTGGGCGACTCCGCAGTCGTGGGGGGCGGGTGGAAAATCCAATGCAGATCTCTGTGACGGCACGGCAGCCAGCTTACCTGGGGCCGGGGACAGGCGGGTCTCCCCAATACCATGCCCATCATCCCACCCTGACGTCGGCCCAATCCGTTCCAAAAGAGGCCGACTTTTCCAGAATAGTGGGCTAGCCCTCGGCCCCGTTTCTTCTTACAGGGATTCGCATACCACATAGATAAAGAAGCTTTCACTCAGTAGAGGCAATGCTCAGCCTTCCCACTTCACCTGACAACTCGCCGATCACTCCCTCCCTCAGTACAGAGACATACTCGGCCCCCGCGCCCACCGGTCAGGGAAGACAGGCCACGTCTAACAGCCAGAACTCGGGGATCATGGAGACATGTTCCCCTTCGTCTACACACTCCTTACGGCGGTGATTCGGGCTTACACACTGTGCGTTCCGACTGCACCTTGAGTATTTATTAAATGAAAAAAATGAGTGAATAAATGAACCAGTGGGATGACCCCTAGCCCGGCCGGTGAGTAGCTGCGTGACCCTGACTAAGTCATCTAACCAAGGGGACTTGGTTTCCTCCCTTGTAACATAAGGACACTATCATCTCAGGCTGTACAATTGGTGTTGCCCCCCGGTTCACATTCTGAGGAGAACGTAGCTCACTAAGATATGCTGTGTAAGGTATCTGCCTTTAAGGGCGCTGTCCCCTAGGGGGTTCCCCTCCCCATGTTTCCTGCGGTCTGCTGACGCGCCCCTGCCAGAGACAAGGGGGCACCGAACTGGACGCTGGGGCCTCAAGGGTGGAAGCCCTGTCTCGGCCACTCAACAGTCTCCAACCTGGGGTCCCTCCTTTGGAGGGTGACAGGAGTGAGGCTCATCTCAGAGGGTTGCTCAGAGCGTGTGTGTGTGTGTGTGGGTGATCGGGGAGGGCGGACTTAGGGAACTGGAGAGAGGCTGCGGTGGGCCGGTCAGGGTCACGCCCCATTCCTCCCTCGGACTGGGCCACGTGGCTTCTCGCGGACCGCGTCTGCTCTTGCCCTGTGGCCTCTGCAGTTGCCTCTTTACCTCTCAGTTCCCTCCCCAGTCCATCCAACCTCTACTCAATCGTCAAGACCGATTTCTGGCTCACCTCCTCCATGAAGCCTCCTCTGACTACTTTAAGCTCCAGGTATCTCTCCCGTCTCTCTCCCCACTGTATTTTAAGTCCTTGTCATGCCACTTCTCATTTGATACTCTGTTCCAATGTCCGTACACACACACACACACATTTAAGCCTAAGAATACTAAACCCCCTTTAAGCGTGTCACTTACACTTTGGTATTCACCATGGTAACTAGCAGAGCGCTAGACACACATACTACACACTTTTGAAACCATGTGTTTTAGATCATGCTGCCCCTTCTCCTTCTCAGAGTACTGTCTCCTCCCTTCTCTCCTGTCCACTTCCTACTCATCTTTAAAGACCAGCTCGGGTGGCGTCTTCTCTGCTACTTCTTCCCTAGTTTTCTCTTTGTGCGGCGCTGTCCCCAGGACTCATTGTGACACGCTGCTTCTTCGCCCCTTGGACGTGCCCCGCCAGCTGTACATGTCCCTCCCTCCCCTGCAGGCTGTAATCCCCCGCAGGGTATGGTATGTATCTTTGTGCCTACCTCCCCTCCGCCCGAAGCCTGAAACCTATTACTCATACACCCTCCAGTTTATTGAGTACCTGCTCTGTGCCAGGCACTGTGTTAATTGCTGTTGACAACGTGGTAAGCAAGATTAATATGAGCTTACTTTATGAAGCCTTTGGTGTGTGGGGGACGCAGACGCTAATGAAATGCTCGCAGCAAAGGGTGGAAACCGGCAGCCCGCATGCCTGCTGCAGAGCAGAGGTGCCGCGAGCCAGAAGTGGGGCTGAGAGGGATCAGGGCAGACTTCCTTGAAGAACTCGGGGAAAGACACACCATGAATGTTTGATGAATTGCAGGGAATTGAAACAGTGGCTGCTCAATAAATACTCGTTGATTGGTTGATTGATTGTCGGCGAAGCCTTCGGAGACCCAGAGAAGAAAGGGCCTCAGGTCCCCATCATTCTTATTACATAATTATTTCAGGGCCTTTAAAGCTCCCCATTTTTCATCTTATACTTTAAACATCAGAGAAAACCTGATAGGCCAACTTTATAATATTTTAAAATGACTCTATGGTGTTTTGGAATATTACATGGCTATAAGACTTTATGTATATTTAATATACTTGGTAAAATATGCAGTAAGCCCATGGCTGATTTTCTCCAAGGACTTCTCAGTGCTGAGGTGGGACTTAAATGTTTAATACTAATAATAATACTCATAACTCACTTTTCTCCAGGGCTTTTCATCTTCGGGGTCCCTGAAGCCGGTGAGCGCCACTGTAGGAGGCTGCAGCTGAGCTCACAGCAGGCCGGCAGCGTCCACATCTGGTCTCCTGTCTCCCTCCAGGGGGGCGGGGGAGGGGGATGCCACTGGAAGGTCCAGCTTCCTCTGCCTACGCTGAATTTTCTCCTCCCGGACACCAATTTATTTTTGGCTGCTGCTGAAAGGCTCCCACTTGTAGCCACGCACCACTGACGGTCACAGTCTTAGGACGAGGAAGGAAAGTGGCTTTGTGCTCTAGGGGTGCGGGGACACATGCCATTCCTTTGGCTGGTCCAAGACAGGTCGCAGAGCCCAAGACTGGATGACTGGGGCACAGAAGGACAAAGGGAGAGTCTCATCTTGTTATCTAAACCCACCCTCTGCCCTTCCTTCTCCAGGTCACGGAGACCAGGACCGGCCCTCTGGGCTGCAGCAACTACGACAACCTGGACTCGGTCAGTTCAGTCCTGGTGCAGAGTCCGGAGAACAAGGTGCAGCTGCTCGGTAAGCTGCGCGGGGAGGGGTTTCACCCTCTGTGCACAGGGGAGGCACAACGGCACTGTCACTGAGACAGAGAGGAGTCCTGCCCCCCACCCATCTGCCCCACCCTTTTTAGGACAAGAACTACCAGGACTTCTGGGACTTGTATTTAACCACTTTCCATCATTCTTTTGAGAAAACTTCAGACATGATTTGCCCCACACCTGAACCCCATTGCTGACACCCAAATCCAAGAGCACTCTCGTTCTCCTGCTGAAAGAACACATCCAGCCTTACATGCCTTGACCTGATTCAGTGGTCTCTGTTCCCGAAGAACTCTCTGCTTTACCCTAAGAACACACTGGGAACAGCTGGCCTTTGCAGAATGAACATCTCTGGCTCAACTATGCAAACTAGGGACCACTGGTTACTCTGGATGTGGTCCCTGCTTTCTGTTATTAGTCTGCCATTTTCCATGGGAGAGCAAAGCCAGGAGGAGTGTGGGAGGAATGGGACTCTCAGTTGAAGACAGAACACAAACAGGAAAACAGAAAGGCAGGCCAAAGGAAAGGGGAACTACGCTAGGGCAGGAGGCTGGGAGGAAGGGCCCTGCTGTCTGTCCCTGGGGCTTGCCAACGGGTTCTGACGGAGCTGTTTGGCCAGGGGAAAACTCCATTTTTCTTAAGGCCTAACTGAATTGGACTCTGCTTAAGATATTATTGTCTCTGTATTATAAAATCAATAGCCCTCACCCAGGATCTACGATTACAAATTCCAGGCAACCTGAGCCGGATGCTTTAGGAATCAAGGAACAGATAATCAAGAGGAGTAAAGGACTCCATTACTGAGAGGCACCGAATGCAGTCAGCTCCCATCTTCTCCTGTGTCCCTAGACGGGCTGGGTTTGTGTCTGGAAATTAGTGATGAGTGAAGTTCAGAATGTCTGGCGGTTCATTTGGAATAGTTTATGCCATTTAATTTTATAGCCCATCACTCATGCAGACGTTGCTCCAGGCATTTATTTTATCGCAATGGGAAATGTTATGGTGTGGAGGAGGGAGGCGATGAGGGAGGAGGGAGGAACGGACTTGCAGAGAGGTGAGTGTTGAAAGCAGGCCTGTGGCCAGGGAGCATGGGGAGGAGCGGTCAACGCCACTGCAGGCTTGACATCAAGGGAGAAAGGTCTGGGGCAGCTCAGAATCGGAGGGAGACCTCAGACAAGGACAGCACACATCCACTGCTGCTCAATTCTAACATATTTTGAGGTCTGCTGAGACTGGGGTACACACCTTGGGCTCTCTGATTTCCTGCCAAGGACAAGGTCAAGGGTGTGAAAATAAAGAGCTGAAAGACATTTGAGAAAAAGGGAATGCATCATATCCAGAAGTGCCCACGTCCCTCACTCTCCTGACACAGGCCCTCACAGTGTCCCTACTGGGGAAGCCTCCCGCAGGTCTGACCTTGAACATGCTCCGGCTGTGTCCAAAGGCATGCCTGTCCCTCATTCATCCCTTGATATGCTTCCAACAGCCACCTTGTGTGGCTTGAAGCCAAGTAGGAGAGGGTATTCTGCTCCTGGTGAACTCATGTCCACTACACACGGGTGGGAAAACTGAAGCTTTTGTGGATTACATCCAAGACAGGGAAGCTAATTAGAAGAGAGCTGAGAGCCATGTGCCTCTATCCAGGCCTGACTGATCTTGGGGTGTCTACCACTATCCTACTTTTGAATCTCCTCAAGAGTTAAATCATACTGAGATGGGGCAGCCAGTCCAGTTATGCAGTGTGACATGATCGGACAAGGGCAGGGTCTGACACCAAGCCGACTTTACTGGTACCATGACCCGGGCAGGTTGCTATGGTCATTGGCTTGGATTTCCTCACCAATAAGAGGCTCAATATGACCACAACTGTTACTTGTGACTGTATAAGGAATGTACTTGGTGGAGTGCCTGGCCTCTATGACCCCCAATAGCTGTGCCCGCCTCCTAACCAGGCAGCCCCCTCTGTCATCAGGGCTGGGCGGGGGAGGCCCGGGGGGATCAGCCTTCAGTAACATCCTAGGATGCCTGCTGCTAATCTCAGTGAAGCTAGAAACAGGATGGTTATCAGAGACAAAGCAAAAAGCCCATCAAGACTTGATTCCTCCCCCATGAGAGCTGTAAGCTCCTCTTTTATCTGAAACATCTTCCTGTTTCCATCCTAGAAATGCTGATGTGTAGCCAATAAGCCCGTTCCTATGATATGCACGCTCTCAATTTGGCTGATATAAGGGGTTCAACTAAGCCTTGGGCTTTGATGTTCCTCATTTGCATTTTCAGATCCTCCCCCATCTGTCACCAGGGCGGTGGCGACCCCTCCTCCCAAGCAGCTCAGCAGGATCAGGCCCCAGGGCGACCATTCTCTGGCCCAGGGGGCACAAGGCAGCAGAAGCCCAGCTGGGGCTCCTGCAGCCTTGGGTGAGTCCCCGCGGGTTCTGCCCAGCAATTCCCCAACACGTCCTTTCCCTAGGCCTGCAGGTGCTGCTGCCTGAGTACCTGCGTGAGCGCTTCGTGGCCGCGGCACTCAGCTACATCACATGCAGCTCAGAGGGCGAGCTCGTCTGCAGGGAGAATGACTGTTGGTGCAACTGCAGCCCCACCTTCCCCGAGTGCAACTGTCCTGACGCCGACATCCAGGCCATGGAGGACAGCCTGCTGCAGATCCAGGACTCCTGGGCCACGCACAACCGGCAGTTTGAGGAGTCAGGTGAGCTGGCCCCGGATTTCCTCCCATGGCGGTGAGGGGCCGGGGAGATCATGGGAGCTCAGCTTGGATCCTGGCTCAGCCACCTCTGTGGCCTCAAGCAGGTTCTATTGCCACTCAGGGTGGCAAGTCATTTCCTTTTGTTCTATAGGCAAACGGACATAATACCTACCAAAGAGATGTGTTTGAAGGACTTAATAAGCTAGGTGGAAGACAATGGAGGCCCTGCCTGTCTTGTAAGCTACAGATTCCACAGTGCCTGGAACAGTGGCTGAATCCCTATTTGCTGAATGAATGAAATGCAGAGAAAAGTTCTAGGAGACCCAGACATGCTACGTGTTGCTTGTGGTTGAAATAACTAATATCCACATAACCTTGAGAACCTAGATTCCAAGGACCTGGTTTGCATCCTTGCTCTGTGTTACAGTCTGAATGTTTGTATCCTCCAAAATTCTTATGTTGGAAATCTAATGCCCAGGGTATCAGGAGGTGGGGCTTTGGGGAGTGGTTAGGTCATGAGGCCAGAGCCCTCATGACTGGGATTAGTGCCTTAGGAAAGAGGCCCAGAGAGGTTTCTAACCCTTTCCAACTTGTGAGGACACAGGGAGGAGGCCCCCATCTGCAGCCCTGAAGAGGGCTTTCACTAGCACCTGACCTTCCTGGGACCCTGACCTTGGACTTCCAGCATCTAGAACTGTGAGAAATAGGTATCTGTTGTTCGTAAGTGACCTCATCTGTGGGATTTTGTTATAGCAGCCCAACCAGGCTAAGACACCCTGTCACTGATGAGCTCTGCGACCTTAGATGGAGCATGCAGCTTCTCAATGCCTCGGTTTCCTCATCCGTTAAAGAGGGAAAGTGATAATGATAGTTGGATAGAAGGCTTGAATGGGATAATTTAGGTAAAGTTAATGTAAAAAGAACTCTGCATGATATAGTCATATATCTCAATAGTAAAGAAGGATAATTATATGGATATATCTCATAAACATAATGTTGGATAAAACAAAGTAAGATGAAAAGATATATTGTAAACATTTATATATAATATGTATATATAGTGCCATAATATAATAATTTATTTAATATAACACATATTTAACACTATTTATATGATGTTAAAGAACATTCTAGTCAATACTTAATATTTTTATAGACAAGTACACTTGTAGAATACATGAAAATATGATACTGATTAAAAAAACATCCAAAAGAGTGCTTACATCTAGATGGAGATGATGAGGAAATTTGGGGTCTCCAAATACATTTGCTTTGTCTTAATTCCTTAAAAAAGAAAATCTGAACCCCATGTGGCAAAATGACACACGCTAGGTGGTGGGCACACGGGAGCTCACCATTATTCTCTACGCTCGTTGTTATGCTTAAATGTTTCAGAGACAGAGCTCTGCATGCGCTAGTTGTAAGTTTCACTACTAGGTGACTCTCCACCCTTCCGTGGGTGGGGGAGAACAAGATGCTTGGGAAATCAGGATGAGCTGAAGCCCCAGGTATGGTCATTCCAAGTTCCAGACAAGGCACTGGGCAGCTTAGGATACCACATTCCAGTGCTGCAGCCCCAGCTGCTGTGGGCTACTGGGTACACCTGTTCCTTAACTCTTAGGCATGCGGGGAATGACTTTGGGCTTTCCCTGCCATGAGTTACCGCTAGTGAGTAAATGAGGGCTCTCTGTACCTCCACCAGGAGGCTGGTGGCTGCAGGTCCCATGAAAGTAGGGCTGTGGACAGAGATCTGAGCATGGATTCAGAAAACACGTCATGCCCAGGAGGCTCTGAGAAGACCTCGGGCTTGCAGTAGGAGCTGAGAACCCAAAGTCACGTTGCTCCTGGATTAGCTACTAGAACGAATGGGTGTTGGCTAAGAGTGGAAGCTCAAAGAAAGGAAGCATGTCCTAGAGCTAAAAAAAAAAAACAAACAAAAAAACAAAAAATGGATGAGGAGAGGGGAGGCTGGTCTCAGAGGCTGAAAGGTTTATAGGAAGACTTCTAAGCTGCGTGCTCTATCTTCTCTGTGTCTACACTGGCCACTCCTGTGAACTCTCATCCTCACGAGCGCCTCATTTCCTACAAGGATGGGTGGTGTTCCTGAAGAAGACTGGCCTGACGCAGTGCTGGGAGTGACTTACAAGGAAGTAGAAAGGGGTAAAGAGATGTGTCCCAGGGTCATTGGCCCCTTGGGTGGTGACAGATCTGTTTTGAAATTCAGGACAGGAAGGATGGACAAGAATCCTGAAGCCACATTTTATGGTTTGTTAATTATTTCTCAATAAGCTACTGAAAAACAAATAAATAAAGGGCCTGCAAGAGTGGATGTGGAGCCACCTCCTGCGTGTGTGACTCGGATGGGCCTGGGGTGGGGGCACCCGGGCGCACATCCCAGAGCGTGTGCATGGCTGCCCCTCAGCTCAGCCCTGTGTCCTTGCCTGCAGAGGAATTCCAGGCCCTGCTGAAAAGGCTGCCCGACGACAGGTTCCTGAACTCCACAGCCATCTCCCAGTTCTGGGCCACGGACAGCAGCCTCCAGCACCGCTACCAGCAGATGGGAGCCAGCCTGAAAGTGCTCTTCAAGAAGACCCATCGGGTCGTCCGCCGGCTCTTCAACCTCTGCAAACGCTGCCATCGGCAGCCTCGCTTCCGCCTGCCCAAGGAGAGGTGAGCAACCCAGAGGTCAGAGCCAGAGCTCAGCGCCTCCCCCAGCTGCTAAGGCCAACATTGGTGTAGTGGCCCATGCACATGGCCTTTTCAAATCTCCTGTTATCTTGACCTACTTGTGTGTCATGCTCAATTATGAGATGTATCTAAAATAAGTGTGTGAAAAAGAGAGAGAGGCTCATTGTACTTATATATAAATAATAGTAGATTCAAATGTTATTCTAATAATCCTCTAATTCCCACTTATTTCTACTTTGGTAAGTCTTCTAGGAAAGGAGGGGGTGGAGGCAAAGCTCATGCACTGATAGCATGGGATGAGAAATACACACGTTGGATCGTTTCAAACAAGTGACAGCTCTGAGTCACAAGACGAAAGAGAGCTGAGGTCCTGTGTCCTTGGGAACAGCTTAGGCACTTGCTCACTCATCTGCTCGTTCACTCGTTTGTTCAAGTTTTTATTAAATCCACATCACACATGCTTTTAAGTAAGCTGTGGGAGATGTTAGTTATTGGGAAAGATTGAATACACACATAGAAACATAAAAATGGAAAACTTACAACTACGTGGCAGTCACTTAAATCCATGTTTGTGGAACATACATTAAAAAACATGGTCCAGTAGAAGCACAGGTCAGAGAGAAAAGCCACCCTGGGGGAGGAGATCAGGCCCAGATTGTGCGGGAGGAGGTGGAGGTGGGTTGCTGGACGTGAGGCAAAGCCCTTTGGGAGAAGGGCCTACCCCAGCAACAACCCAGAGGCGCAACGCTAACTGGGGCACAGGTGAGAAGGAAGAGTAATGGCGAAGACAGGCAGGCAAGGGTTTGCGAGACCAGCTCCTTTCTTTCTCAATAAATAATTATGAACTGTTTACCATGTACCAGGAATGATTCCAGTTTCTGAGCATATGTTGGTGAAGGATAGAGTACCCCTGCCCCTGCATTTACAAAGAAGCCACCCACGAACAAGTCAGCAATAGAGAAGCACAACCATCTCCGACCCTGACCACTGCTGTGGGTTCACAGAAACAGGGTGATGAGACAGGGAGTGACTGGTGGTTCTGAGAGCGAAGCCATGGAAGAGCGTTTCAAGGCAGTACTATCCTAGAGCTGAAATCTTTCGAGAAAGCTGGCCCTAGAAAATTCCTCCTATTCTTGGTAGAAGGGTGAGAGAAGCAGAGGGAGTAGAAAGGTCTGTGACCATGAAGTGGAAAAGAGGTCAGCGTGATGCTGGGACATCTGGAGAAAGTCTCGTTGCTGGAAGACCTTGTTTAGAAGCCTGCAAACCAGGTTCAATACAGAAGATGGTAGAGAGCCTCTGTAGGCTTTTGAATGAAGGATTGAGGTGGTACCTGGGAGGGACGAGCCTGGCTGCTTCCAGCACAAGCTGATGTCCAGGATTCCTGGGACAGATCCAGCAGACACGGAGCCCCAGGCCCCAGCCAGACTTTCCCACGTGGTACACTAGGGTGTCTGTCTTTTAGAAAACTTGAGGTTTTATCTTCCCCATCACCTTCCCTGCCTGTTAGTCCATGTCCCACTAACCTCAGGGAAGACGGCAATGTGGGGCTTCCTATGACGCTTGTTTCCTTGTTATCTCCTTTCCCAAAGGTCCTTGTCCTACTGGTGGAACCGAATCCAGTCCTTCCTCTACTGTGGAGAGAGCACCTTCCCTGGCACCTTCCTGGAACAGAGCCACAGCTGCAGCTGCCCCTATGACCAATCTTCCTGCCAGGGCCCTATCCCATGTGCCTTGGGTGAAGGGCCTGCCTGTGCCCACTGTGCTCGGGACAACAGCACACGCTGTGGGGGCTGCAACCCGGGCTACGTGCTGGCACAAGGGTTGTGCCGGCCGGAGGTGGCTGAGTCCCTAGAAAACTTTCTGGGGCTGGAGACAGACCTGCAGGACCTGGAGCTGAAGTACCTGCTGCAGAAGTGGGACAGCCGCATCGAGGTGCACTCCATCTTCATCAGCAATGACATGCGCCTGGGCAGCTGGTTCGACCCTTCCTGGAGGAAGCGCATGCTGCTCACCCTGAAGAGCAACAAGTACAAGCCCGGGCTGGTGCACGTGATGCTGGCCTTGTCCCTGCAGATCTGCCTCACCAAGAACAGCACCCTGGAGCCCGTCATGGCCATCTACGTGAACCCCTTTGGGGGCAGCCACTCTGAGAGCTGGTTCATGCCTGTGAACGAGGGCCGCTTCCCGAACTGGGAAAGGACTAACGTGGATGCAGCGGGCCAGTGCCAAAACTGGACGATCACCTTGGGAAACAGGTGGAAGAGCTTCTTTGAGACAGTCCATGTTTACCTACGGAGCCGAATCAAGTCCCTGGATGACAGCTCCAACGAGACAATCTACTACGAGCCCCTGGAGATGACTGATCCCTCCAAGAACTTGGGCTACATGAAAATCAACACGCTGCAGGTCTTCGGGTACAGCCTGCCCTTTGACCCAGATGCTATCCGGGACCTAATCCTCCAGCTGGACTACCCGTACACTCAAGGCTCCCAGGACTCAGCCCTCTTGCAGCTCATAGAGCTGCGGGACCGGGTAAACCAACTTTCTCCACCTGGCAAAGTCCGGCTGGACCTTTTCTCTTGCTTGCTCCGGCACCGGCTCAAGCTGGCCAACAACGAGGTGGGCAGGATCCAGTCCTCCCTGCGGGCTTTCAATTCCAAGCTGCCAAACCCCGTGGAGTATGAGACAGGAAAACTGTGTAGCTAATGGGGGGACCACTCCAGTGCTGGGTGGGGAGGAGTCCACGCCTGCAGGCCCTCACCATGGTGCCAATGAGGTGCTCCCTTGAGTTTTTCTGCACCCAGCAGATGGGACCTCAGGGCTTGGACTGAAGCAGGCGGGGGAGTGAGAAACAGCCCCCACGCACATGCACACACAGGCCGGGCACGTGCACACAGGTGCACACGCACACATACTCCCTCGGGGAGGCTGCAGCCTAGCAGCCTCGCGTCTGTAAAGCCGGTGCTTTCTAAAATGAACGCAGTTGAAGGAGAGGAGCCAAGGGAGAGATTATGAAAAAGAACCAGCCAACCCACGAAACAAACATCCTTAAAAGTGATTCGTATCATTCAAGGAAGCAGAGGGGACAAGATGGGAGGGCTGGGTACGCCTCCCCTCGGTGGAGCCACTTTTGTATTCTTTTTAACCAGATTTCTTAAAATGGTGGTGTTTCAAGATTCCCCACGTCGGTTCCTCCTTTTTGTACTCTGCCTCCTCGGAGCCCTCCGGACACTGACCGCTCGTCAAGCCGGCTTCTGCTTAGGAAACAGGAAAGTGATGCCCACTGGGGACACGCTGGGCGGCCGGTGGTCTTGTGCACCCTCCGCCCCCTGCCCTCCCTCCACCCCGCCCCCGGGCTTCCTCGGCAGCCTTGGTTTCAGGGTTCGGGGCCCTGGCTTGTTCCACGGGGCCCAGCCTCATGGTCCAGCTGGATCATCCCTTTCCAACAGCCCTGATCTGTCCAAGGAAGCAGCTCTGTCAAGTTGGAGAGACATGATGTATAGGGAAGTGTTCTTTTTTAAAAACAGAAACAAAAATATTTATTTTGTGATTGTTTTCCTTGTCAATCTGCTCCAGCCACATGAACATATGAGTAAAAAATTTAACTGGTTTAATATATTTTTTCAAAAGACTTTTATTAGGGGGAAGTGAGAGGGATAAGATGAAAAAAGACTGGGTTGCCTGGATTTTTTAAGCTGGTCTCTGGGTGACACGCGTGTGTCCTGAGGTGGTGGATACTGCTGTGTGGGAGGCTGGCTGATTCGTGTTTACACAAGTGAATGCGTCCTGTGTTGACTGGGTGTGAGGGGGGTGTGTGGGGGGTGGGGAAGAGAGGGTAGAGTGGGAAGGAGTGAGGCAGAGTGAGGCAGGATCCTCCCAGATACTTAACTACCTGGCTGTCCCACGCCCCTTTTGTCCCAGGAGTGAGGACTAACCCGGGTCCTGCCCCAGGGTCACCGCCATCAGGAGAACAGCAGGGAGGCCTTTGCTCTCCGGGGGGACTGCAGCCTTTGGGCTGGGCCAGTGCCAGCCGCAGGAAGCGCCCCCCTGCCCGCACTGCGGCGGACGTTGGAGGTGCCCCTCCCTCGGCATCTCGGGGTCTGGGGTCGCCCTGCGAGGAAACTGGGGAAGATACAGACTTGGCGTTGGTTTCCTCCATTTTGCCTGATTGCCACCTTTCTGGCCTAAAAAGCAGGTCTGCCACACGGGGGGTGAAGGCATGCTTCTCCCCTTCGTGCCCTCCCAGGGTGTAGGAGACTCGCTTCACAGCAAAGCTTTTGAAGAAGCACGTTTCTGTCTATTCTCCACATGTCCTGAGCACAATGCGTAGGCACGACAACCCCCATTTTATGAAAGCGAAAGCCACCACGTAAATACTAAGCGCCTCATTCCATACCCGTGCCATATCCTGGTTGGTACAAAATGAACTGGGAGACAATGAGAGGATGGTCAGTCTACCTGCCTTAGAGAGTCTACATTTATCGTTGCCTAGAGAAGAATCTGGTGTCGTGTTTAATCCCTGAACCACCTTCCCCTCCATGAGGACCTGGAATCCTCAGTAGAGAAGCAGCCTAGGGCATTTCCTTCCTCACAGTTCCCTAAGGCTTCTCGGGTGGAAACGCAGAGCAATGGGTGAGCTAGGGATGCAGGGAGCTGCCTATTTCTAGTTCAGCTGCTGCTTGCTTTTGGGGTGTGTCTCAAGCTCTTCATCTGTGGGGATGGACCCAGCAGGTGCCATCTTCATCAGCAGGCCTGGGGAGGTGCCAGGGGAGGGTGCTTCCAGTGGGAAGACTTGATTCCTCCCAGCGACAGGCTTTGCGAGTGAAAGGTAGATCCTGGAATTGCATGTCGGTCTGCCTGTTGTAAGAGTGGGTGGGCGAAGCTTTCACCCACCAGTGAAAGGTCCAACGTGCGGAGGGATGTTTGGAGGGGGAGGAAAGCAGCCGAGGACGTGTTGTGCACGAAGTCAGCATTGTGGACCCCCAGCAGCATGAAAGTAATTGCCCTGATGGGAAGTTAGTCCGTCTGCGGGGCTCACATCCCACCTGGCCAGGCCTGCAGCCGAGGGGTGGAAAACCTCAGCTGTCAGTCTCGGAGTCGGGGGCCGGGCTCGGGGCAAGCACACTTGTAGAGCTGTTAGAAAGGACGCCTTGTGTGTCAGACACCAACTCTTGGGAAGGCTCTGGGGAGATAATGGTGTGAGGTCCTATAGTTTCAGAAATAGAGGAATCCATTTACAAAGATTTCCAATTCTTGTCTGCTTGCAGGGTTAAACCAGGAGGCTGAGTGCATCAGGCCCACCTAAAAGCTCTCCTCCACATTGGTAAATTCAGGAGTGCGCTTCTGAGCCCAGATGCAAGTACCATGCTGAGGGAAGGCCTAAAAGACAGTATTAATTAATTCTAGTAGTAGAAATGCTTTTATTTGACCTATGCACATGTTATCTGGGACGGGCACCTGACTCCTCTCTTCTGAGAAAGTGATGGGGGCCTGGGGTACAAGATCTTGGGTCAGAGCAGCAGTCCAAAGACTGCTTCTAGGAGGCAAATGGAAGACGAGGGAGAAATACAGGAGGGACGGGATTCCTTAAGGGGCTTTTAAAGGCTTAAAAACCGTGGGTTCAGCATTTCTCAAAAAAGGAGGCTGAGGCGTGCCATACCAATAAAATTGTCAAAAGTGTCACTTTAAAAGTCTATAATAACCAGAAGATGTGAACCAACTATTCCCAGATACAGCTGCAAATGAAGAACTGTCATTAATTAATTAGTGGTGGGTTGTCGATGTTGGTGAACTCCCCGTGGAATTTAGAGCCAAATCACAATTCAGTTACTTCCTATAACAATCAGGAATTCAAGCCTTAATTGTAACCCCAAAGAACTAATACATCAAATGTAATCTGTCCTAATGCTCGAGACTAATACCTCTAATACTAAATAATATATTTAATACCTGCTGCTAATAATATAATGCTATGCTCTGCAGGCATACTCATGCATCCACAGACAAAAATGTAAAAGAAGATTGCTCCAAATACTGGGTATCACAAATAATTCACATCCAGTTCTTGGCTTTGCTTTCGTGAATATGAAAACAGTCCTCACGAAGGACAAAGCCACCCTCTGCGTAGATGGAACACATTGCTACCTGATGCCCTGTGCTAAGAGATCATTTCCACAGTCCGCAGTTTGATCATGTAAGTCTGTTCTCCTGCACATAAATGAGATCTCCCTTTTTTGCCATTATGTTTTGTATGAAAATTAAAATGCCCTTAGGAGGAAATAAATCTTAGACGTTAACCTACTGGCAAAAGAGAGGATTTGGTTTTTGGAGCTGGAAGCTTTCTAGGGGCCATTCAGCCTACTAATTTCTGATGCGTGTGGAAGAAGAGCGTACAGAACTTGCCTGGGCAGAGCTGGGAAGAGCGTCTCACCTTCTTCCTTGTCCACCTGTCTCTGCCAGTAAATGGCACCTGGGTCCCGGAAGATGACAGGGACCCAGGGCAGGGCTGGGGCATGTGAGGGTGCAGGAGGAAAGGCAATTTCCCAGGAAGGAGCAGAGGACTGCTTAGCGGTGGGAGTACCTTCACATCTTCCCCCGGGGCTGGTTCTAGCAAAATCGACCACAGGCCAAAGAAAAAGACTGCAATTTCTCCCTGACAATCCTTAAGCACAGAGTAGACCTATTTTCATCCAGGCCGGATCGCCTTGCTGGATTCCTAATGACTCTTTCGGCTAAATGTGTTTTTAATCACAACATCTTCCCTCTACTTTCTTGATATTTTCTATAGACCACCAATTAGAGTTTGAGTATTTTTACAAATCTGAACACTTCTGCAAAACATCCTTCTCATGAAGGCTCGAGGCATCTGGGTACCACCAATGTCCAAAGGTCTTGGGCCGTGCAGCTGGCGTGCCAGGCGTGCGACCTAGGTCTAGGGCCACGGCGGGAAAAGGAGTGCGGCGGGCTCGGCTGCCCTGAGTCCTCGCTGCCCCCAGCGGTAGACTGAACCTGGACCAAAGGAACCGCTGAAGACACAACTACGGCTGGCACTCCTGGCCTGCAAGGGGGGGTGGGAAATTTCAGGTAGTGTGACTGACTGTAGACACGCCCGTTTCTTCCGGTTTCCTCTGGTTCTGCTGCCAGCCAGCTCTGTACCCGTGCGCAGGTCATTCCACTTCTCTGAGCCCCAGTCGGCTCCTCTGAGGATGACGGAGTTGGATTTCCCACGCAGGTCCGGGGGGTCTCGCAGGTAGTATCCTTTTGAAAGCCATGGGACACAGAGGACAGTCTCCTGAGTCAGACAAGCCTGGATTTGCATATTGGCTCTACATTTACATTGAAGTGACTTTATTTCTTGCCCTGTCCCCTTATGTGCATCAACCCTACCTCCCTAAGATTTTTCTTTCCTTTCTCTTTCTGAACACTTGCCTCCTTGCATACTTTTGCTCTGTACTCTCAAACTTCCTGAGTATATCTACACCTTCAATTCGCCAAAACTCATTATCATTTCTCTCCTTCCTTCCTCTCTCCTTGCTTTTCCTTCATTCATGATTTAAGTGCTAGGCAGTAGGCAAAGGTGTAGGATAGTCTTTAAAACACGTTTCTGGGCCATGAAGAGTTGGACAAAACAATGTGGGGACAGAGTGGCACTTTCTCTAGCAGAGATGTACAAAGTGCTGGTGGTGCACAGGAAGGGCATAAATCCCTGGAGTAGACACTAACAGCATTTACTGTGAACCTTCTAGTAACTACGGCAGCACTACCCCGGTGTCCCGATGTTTTACCTGTCAGTGGAGGGAAAGACCTGACATATAACGTACGCATCCTTCTCGGAAGGCAGAGAAACGCGCGGATGGCAGCAGAGCCCCATTGCTAACTCCTGAGCCCCACACCTGTGCCATGTCATTCAGGCCAAGGCACGCCCATGGGACTGTCACGGGAGGTCTGTGTGGTGGCAGAGCTGCTGCCATCTCTTGAGTTTCCTGACTTTAACGAGCACACCGTTCACCTGAAGATTCTGATGCCGCAGGTCTGGGTGAGGCCCCAGATTCTTCATGTCTAGCAAGCTCCTAAGTGATGCTGCTGCTGCCAGCCTGTGGACCACATTTTCAGAGCCAGCTTCTCCGAGAGGATGCCTGCTGTTTCCCTGCAGCATCAGCATGCTAAAACAGCAGCCTCCCAGAGACAGGGGCTGGGGAACTGAAAGGCTCATCGTGCCTGGCTAGGTGAGGACCTCACTTACGAAAATCTTGGTGCTCTACTGGCCTTTAATCTCTCGACCAATAGGGAGCCAGGTGTCTGACCTGTACATACCAGCAGGGTAAAGAAACAGAGGAGAGAGGGAAGACAGGAAACAACTAAATCACAAGTCTGTGGGCTGAGAGCTAGCTTGCTTATGGACGTGTTTACAGATGAGCAGCCCACAGACCAGCTGCATCGCGCTGGCTGAGGAAAGGTCTTTTTCCCAAGCCTATCAGAGTAAATCTGTTCAGAAGTGGGACAGGGAGCACCTGTCACTCGATGGAAACATACATCAGACGGGACGATTAAATTTACACCAGCAATGTGCATGCACCCAGAGGC